GTTCTAATGGTGTTTGTAAAAAGGATCTCAAGTCCGCATCTTGTACAGCAATTAACCACTAAGAAGAATATATGCAGTGTGTTATTTGTTGAAACTGTACTTCCGATTTGATTTGAAACTGTCTCGTTGCTATCTGTTTATCAATAAAATTTTGAAAAAAATAAAATAAAACAGTTGTATTTATTATGTAGACACAGAACTACTAAATGCCTTTTTTTGTAAAGTACTTTTAAAGATCTACAATTTTTAATGTTCAAATTCATTAGGCAAATATATATTTATAATACATATTATTTTTCTTTTTATGTTTTTCTGATCAATGATGACATCTATATTCACCTCTTGATACTATAACATTTATTTCTATCTTTAGAGCAGTGAATATTGATTATAAAATTTCATAATGTGTTAGTGTAGCTAAAATATTATGTAAGGTTCTCCTTACAATAAACTCTTTATGTAGTGCAGGGCAGCTTTCCCAATCTCATGTGATTTTTATCATCAATATATTTTTATTTGTGGAGGAAACCCAAAAGATGTTAGTATGCTTTTTTATCCAATTCAGTGTAAAATAAAATATTAATGAAAAACATTTTTTCTTTCTACAAGTTCATGAAATTGTCACTTAAGAGCAGTAGGTCTTTATCCTGCACACGGAGTTACCTCTGCAGTTCTCCAGACCTAAGAACATTTGCCTGAGATTTATTTTCCATGCACAAGATACTTGATTTGTTTTCCACTTCATGCAAAATTTATAATAACGTGTTTTCTCAGATAATCTCTATGAATATTTTCTGTACTGTCCCTTAGTTTCCTCATTTAAAACAATTAATCCTCCTTAAAATATTTTAGTTTTACTATTATAATTTATTCTTGTTGATTTTAATACATTATCTGATTTGACCAAATAGAAGAAAGCATCCTGCACCCACTGAATTCATCACAACATTATAGGAAATCACTGGAGTTTATAAGTCTGGTAGAGTTTATATTTGTAATCCCAGGGAGATTCATTGGCATACGAATAAATTAATTCCAATCTACCATTTCCAATGCAACCCACATCGAGAATAAAGACAGCAAGGCTTATGTATGATTGTGGGTAACCAAGGGAGGCCTAAGTTCAACTAGAATGTGGCTAACAGGAACAAAGTCCCCCAGATGGGGCAGAACTTGGGTTTTATTAATGCAGAAAGAGTAATCTGCATAACACAGTTTGTGGCAGCATCTAGTGTTTTGGGATTAGTGTTTCAGTTTTGATATGTAATTGTCATGCCCTGAGAGGTCATAACTTCCTTCTCAAAGCTTCTCTCCAGCAGATAGGATGACATCACCAGGCTTACCTCACACATGCTCCTTGGGAGCTACAGGTAAGAAGCACTGAAATACCAAACTTCACCACCTGGCTACACCTACTTGTCTTGTGCAAATCCAATTGAGGAGATAAAGACAAATCTAAGCCAGCTCTGTACATATCAATGCATGGAAATAGAGCTAGGTTTAGTCAGTATGGAGACAGTTGCTCTTCTTTCAAAAGAGCTATCCTAGTGGTCCTCCAAAATGTTTTTTAGTCTCAAGAGTGACCAGTTTTCTGCTGATTTTTCACTTTTAAAATAAATCCAAAAATGGGGCTGGGGAGATGGCTCACTGGAATAAGTGCTTTCCTGGCAAGTGCAAGGGTCTGAGTTCAATCCCAAGTTCTGCCAAAATAAATAAATAAATAAGTAAATAGACAAATAAAATAAATAAATAAATTCAAAATCAAGAAGATTACACTGCATTGCATGAATATGGCCAGTAGGTGAAGCAACTCATGCTTAAAAAGCAGAAAAGAGTTTCTCTCCCATCCTCTGACACTTCAGATGTCAATGTACCTGGTGTGAATTTTCAGTTCACAAAGTAAGGATGGGTTATAATTATATGCACAGTGTTGGATTACATTAGTTGATGGAAATGCAGGGCATGGTAGATTGTATTTCAGTCATGAAATGAAGGACAAGCTATTGGATGCACTAGATTACAATAATTATCCAACTTGTGCACAACCAAATAAGCTTTTCAGGCACAAAGGAAAAAGTGCACGAGAGAGAAGGCTGTTGCTGCTTCCTTCAGGTGTACATGTACTGAAGTTACTGCTACGCAAGCAAAATGGTACCAGGTCTACCATTCTTGTTTTTCTTGTTTTAATGACATTGTTTTCTAGTTTCTTTTCTAATGAATATGAATTACTCCAATGGCCAGACTATGTTTTTAAACACAAAATTTTTCCCTGGGGCAAATATAATGCTTCCATTTTTACAGGAGACAATCACGGAAGAAGTATCTCTTTGGTGTTTCTTGTCTACCTTGCTAGTAGAATAGTCCTAATTGGTCACTTGAGCATAAACACTTCCTCTAAATTTATATCTCTGTAGATTTCAGAAGTAAATCATTTCACCAAAAATTTAGAGTATCATGAGAGATTAAAGTGTTTATTTCTAAAATGGGCATTTCAAAGGGAAAAGAAAAATGATTTTCTTCATTAAAGACTTCAACTTTTGAACTTTGAATAAAGCAAAGAATTTGTCCTTGAAAATTGTGCCCCCAAGAGGACTAAGTGCAGCAGGGACCCGCACTACACCTGCACAGTAAGGCACCTGGGATTTCCAAACCCCGAGAAAAGGGATACTCAGGTTCTCTTCAGGGAGAACTTCTTGGTGATAAATGAACTTGGAATTGATTAAGATGTGAATAAAGTTGGCGATACATTTTTTGTTAGAATAAAACAAAAATCTCAAAAATAAATATGTTACAAAAAGAAAACTACGTGTATTGTGAGAATTTTCCACAGCTTTTTTTTTTCCTTTTTTTTCCCCCACTATTTTTACAGTTTTTCTATTTTCTTCTGACAATAATTTGAAGTTGTACACTTTCTAAAGAAATATTATTGGAAGAAAATTTCTTAAATGACTGAGCCTCACAGTAAGTATCACTCTTCAAATTGGAGGAGATTACATTAGGTAAGAAGAAACAGGTATATTGTCAGAAAAAATGTCACACACACACCTGCACGCACATCATTGGTCTTACCATGAGTAATGTTAAGGACTGAAAGACAGGACTATAGTTGTTGGAATCAAAGTGTGCCAAGTATAAAAAAAAATATTTTGAATACTGAAGTTAAGAAAATACATTGGAAGGGCCCACCTGATAGCTCAGTGGATTAAAATGTCTGCTCAGGCAGATGCAGAGTATGGGGTTTGATTCTGGACATACAGTGCAGTGTCTGACCCTCCTCAGGGGCATGCTGAAATGGTGATTGAGACCAGCTATAGTGGTGCATGCCTGTAATCCCAGTGATTAGGAGGCTGAAAACAGGAAGATCACTATGAGTTCTATCTGTGTAGTGAGATCCTGTAGACCCTATACTAAATCTATTTTTGCAAAATAAAGGAAAAAGAAGATACATTGATATCAGACGTAAAACTCCGTAGCGCCCCACTGCCTACACCCAAAATGTTGGAGAAAATTTCTTCTGGAAGAGAGTATAGGATTTACTCATAGCTTCATCCAAGGAGACAGGTGAGTCTCTGACCCTAAATATCTACCACTCTGTGCTCAGTACAGCAAGGGCATTGAATCCAGGTAACTCCCAACCACTTTAGTCCCTCTCTAAGTGAATCCAGATCTTGACTTCCTGGGACTGCTCTGTGTATGCTTTTCAAAAGAGCAGGTAATGTTCAGACAGAGCATAACTTCCCATGCAGTAATTTTCTGCAAGACAAGAAGTGGATAATCCTGCATACAGCCAAAGGAAGATGAAGAAGAAACCTGTTTTTGAAAGCATAAATTCTAAACATTGTTTTGTTTTTCTTTCTCATTTATGGTATCATCAGAATGTCATTTCACAGGAATTATATAGTATCAACAGGCTACATTGAAGTCCCCAGAGTGAAATGACTATCACTACATAAAATGTATTGAGAGCCAAAGGACGATGAATAATCCATAAAAACTTAATTTTAGAATAACAATTATATGCCCTGAATCAGGATTGCTGCAACAAATTGTGTGCAATACCAAAGTAGTGTAAGCATTATCCCTGGAGTCAAAACTTCTTGGTAGAGTCACTATCAACATGAAATTCCTGTGATTTCAAAAACTTAATGATCTCTGCTCACTTTCAGGATAGAAGTACTTTGAGATAATACATTCATGTGAATTCCATGTGGTAATAAAGGAGTCTTAAGTACCACAAGGTTCATGCTGAAAGAAAGACTGAAATGTTTGAAGTAAAATTCAAATTCCCTTCATATGGTTAAATTCCAAGTAAATATTTTGATACTGTTTAATATAGATTTTATTAAACTGCAGAAACATTGAAGTGATTGTGTTAAATTCTGGGCCAAATACACAAAAACACCAACTGCAGATACACAGGTAATTTTTCAAACTTATTATTCTACAGCTAAATGCAGCAGGACACCATGGGCAGTTCGAACTCCACCAGTGTTCCTGACTTCATCCTCCTGGGGCTGGTGGATTCCGCAGAGGCACAGCTGGTCCTCTTCCTGCTCTTCCTCCTCATCTACCTGGTCACAGTGTTGGGGAACGCAGGGATGATCCTGCTCATCCGCCTGGACCCCCAGCTGCACACGCCCATGTACTTTTTCCTCACTCACCTGTCCTTCCTCGACCTCAGCTACTCCAGTGTCATCACCCCAAAAACCTTACAGGACTTAGTGTCCCCCACCAAGACCATCTCATTCCTGGGATGCTTCACCCAGATGTACTTTTTTGTCCTCTTGGGTGTCACTGAATGCTTTCTGCTCTCCTCCATGGCCTACGACCGCTATGTGGCTATCTGCAGCCCTCTGCACTATCCAGTCACTATGTCTAAAAGTCTGTGCGGGGCCCTAGTGAGTGGATCTTATTTGTTTGGCTTCATGAACTCCATTGCTAATGCAGCTTGCATGCAAAGTCTGCGTTTCTGCAAAGCCAATGTCATCCATCACTTTTTCTGTGACACAAACCCAGTGTTAGCCCTGTCCTGCAGTGACACCTATGAGGTTGAAATCACGATATTCATTCTTGCTGGTTTCACACTCATTGTGTCACTTGTCACTATATCTGGATCTTACATGTCCATCCTCTCCACTATCCTGAAAATTAACTCCACTGCAGGAAAGAAAAAAGCCTTCTCCACCTGTGCCTCCCACCTCCTGGGCGTCTCCATCTTTTACTGCACTATGATCTTTACCTACCTCAAGCCGAGGCAGTCCTACTCTGTGGGTGAGGATCAGGTGGCCTCTGTGTTTTATACCATTGTGATCCCCATGCTGAATCCCCTCATCTACAGCCTCAGGAACAGAGAGGTGAAGAGCGCAGTTACTAGAATCATGCAGAAGAACGGCGACTCCAGGCAATTAATAGAGTAGCGATGCTAACTATGTGTGATTCTCCCTATTCATGTTTTCTGCTTAAAATCTCTTTTATTTAACTGTTACTTAATATGTGCTTTGAGATTTTTATCAGCATTATTTTAGAAATTCATATTTTAATTCTAAATAATTAAGTCTGTGTTATATTTCACACATACATTCCTGTGATTTTAAGAGACATTCTTTTTGAAAATAGTAAAATTTGCAGGTTCTTTTTGAAATTTTAAAATTTTGCATATCATTTAATATCAATCATGTTTCTATATGTGGGGAATTTTATAATTACATAGAGTTCTATTTTTTCATGAGTCATTGTTCTTATAATACAGTGTGTCAGGGCAGATTGAGGAGGAGCAACTACTTTGACACCAAACATTCTTGTCCTTTCATTTTTGCACCATAAGTACAACTCAGTACTTAGTGCCTCCCACACAGGTGTGTTGCCACTGAACGCTATCCCCAGCCCAATTTACTTGTATCAAGATCCCAAATCTGCTGCCTGTAGATTCATAATGCTCATTCATTTACTGAAATGTTGGCGCCCCATTCATTCGCCTGTCAGATACATGATAATTCCACATCTGTCATTTCGGGGCAGAGATGTAAATCTTTTGGTGCCATAACAGGAATGCTGGACCTTATCAGCAGAGCACTGAGGAATCTATTCTATTGTAATGGATAATAACTCCGTTGAAGTAATGCGTTCCTATCTTACAGATTTATTTTGGTTCATTTAATTAAGAAACATGCAACTAGCTACTAGGAAAAACTGAAGCCATTAATGCCTAATTTTTCACTCAGACTAAAACATATTTTTTTCTTTTTTTCCATAATTTTATTGATAAACAAATAGCAATGAGATAGTTTCAAACCAAATTGGTAGGACAGTTTCAATAATTAACACACTGCATACATTCTTCCTGGTGCTTAATGGCTGTACAAGATGCGGACATGATATCCTATTTACAAACACCATTAGAAAAATCCCTCTATTCATTAAGAGAATGTAACTATA